GCTGAGAAGGCACGCAAAGACCGTGAAGCCGATGAGGCCTTCAGAAAAGCTGCGGAAGCTGATGGTAAGTTCTTGCCTCTGATAATCATACTTGGACATGTTATTGATTCTGCTGTGCACAGCCAAGAGACCTCCCGCAGCGAAGAAATCATGGTTTGGCGGTTGGTTTGGAGGAGCAAAGAAAGAGAACGACAACAACAGCAACAACAACTCGGGCGGCCCTATCCGTGCCAAACTTGGCGAGGAAAACTCTTTCTATTATGACAAGGAGTTGAAGAAATGGGTCAACAAGAAAGATCCGAATAGCGCCAGTGTATCGCGTGGCACGCCGCCGCCACCTAAAGCGTCAGCTCCTCCTAGCAGAAGTGCCAGTGGCAGCACCGCGCTGCCTGCAGCAAGCATGGCTTTGGGACATGATAGTAGACCTCCGTCGTCTGCAGGTGCTCCTCCGTCACTATCCAGCAGCCCAGCACCATCCTCGCTTGCTGCTCCCCCGCCTATGCTAGGCACTGCTCGGTCAGCCTCTACTAGTGCAGCCATGACCACGCCACCAATGGGCTCCTCGTTGCCCCCTCCTCGCCCTGCAACATCGCTGAGCAATGCCAGCTCCATAGATGACCTTCTTGGAGCACCACAGGCGCGCAAGGGCGCACCTGCTAAGGGACGGAAGAAAGGCCGATATGTCGATGTGATGGCGAAGTAAACTGCCCAGCCTACTAGATGCGGGTCTTTATTTTTTCTTTTGTGTGATCATGTCTTACGATTTTCCTAATTCTCGGCCTCACGTTACTCTTTGCACATCGTGAAGCGTATACGACTTGCGTGTGCTCTAGAATTCTTCTACCCACCTGCACAAAAGTCTTGCATAGTGTGTTGCCTCGATGAGGAGCACATTCTTGTTTCCAACCCCTCTGCATGAGCAAGATATTCCCGTGTACAATAAATATATGCATATGCACCTTATGTGGTGCTTATTGCTTCCCCTTATTCCCCCTTGATGATTGCTTTGCTTACGCTTCTGTCCATTTGAGACCACTAACTTTGGCATTGAGTGATGTGGAGGTCTTCAACCGAAGGCCTTCTTCTTGAGTTTCACGGAACATGAAAGTTTATTATTTGAACCTTTTAATAGTACTATAATAATTCCGACCTTCTTGACACTCAGTGTTGTGTGCGTTTGTATTGCGCGTACGTTTGCATACCGAGACCGTAACATCTTCATAATCTAAACCCAGTAATTCTACTCAAGCCGCGTAAGAATTGATATAATACTGTCCGTGTCAGCTGGACCTTTCACCAGTATTACATGGATTTGAAAAAAAAAAAAAAAAAAAAAACTCACCGTCAAACAAGAATCCTCTCCGTTCCAGCTCCCCGGCAGGTAAACGTAGAGGATCAAAGCCGTCTCATGGATAAAACCTGCATGTAAGTCAAAGGAGTAAGCAGGGTGCTCCGATCACGATTGTGAGCACTGTCCTCAACTTACATGCAACGACCTTAGGACTCAATCGCCCAACACTCAGCACCCTTCCCCAATCCTTTCCGTCAATCCTCACCTTCGCCCAACCAGCCTCATCATCATCACTTATAGCTCTCATCCGCTCACTAGGCAGCTGCTCGATTTCCGTCTGCGTGAGCTGCCCAGGGTCCAGCGACGGGTTCACCAGGTCCGTCCAAACACTCGAAATACGCAGGGCATCCGTAGCGATCGCCAACTTCAGCGATCCATGCATATTAGCCGATAGTTCCAGTTTAGGTGAAACAGCGGACACAACCGCAGAACCCGAAGAACCCTTGGAATCCGCCGCCAAGTTGGTAAACCGCTCGGAGATACTCTTCAGCTGGAACAGACTAGGCAATATGATATGCACATCGGGGTCACGACATCGCGGTTCATGGAGCCCTTCGATGGCAGATTCATGGAGGACCTTCACAGGAATTTCCTGCGTAATGACTGTCTCGCGTTCTCGGGGCCCAGAAACGGCTGATGGCCTTGACGCAGTGGTTGCCTGACCTGCGCGACCGGTATCTCCCGCTTCCAGAGCCGGACCGGCCATAGCTACATGGTCAGAGTCGGTGATCCCTAGTGCGTTGGACCCGGTGGTCCAGGATGATGCATGGATCGTGAGAGCCAAGAGAGGGACGTTGCCTTTTTTGGTCAGACGCAGTTGGGCCGACGTCGCCGCTGCGGCGGAGCGAAGGGCACGGTGGAGAGCACCGACTGGAACTTCGAGGTTGATAACCCCGGAATTTGATTCCAGGATATAACTGGTTTCATCGAAGATGGCGTCCTGGGGCGATTTGTTTAGATAGGACACTCTTTCGCTCGGATGGCCAAGGGCACGTACCACGGGTAACTGCGCCCAAACTTGGGTGCCTTGATCAGGGATTATGGTAAATCGAACAATGCCATCTTCCAGTCGCATCCAGCATACTTTACCCAGAGATGAGAGGGATGCTGTCAACTCTATAGATAGGTGTTAGTAGCGGGTTAATGGATTGCTGGGCCTTAGGTCGGAGCTTCCATTGAGACTTGGCGGGAGCATCACCAGGCAACATTGGCTTACAAAAAAAAAGAAAGGTATTCCAAGAGGGGAGGCCCAAAGAAAAGAGAAACATAACACATACTAGAAAAAGTTGCAGCGTTAGCGAGTTGAGTGCGAAATCGCATCTTCAATCAAGGCACGTATGTCATGGCATCACATAGGGATTGAGAGTTGATTTGGTGCTTATCGTCGGCGTTCCTTATCGGCGAGAAATCTAACCCAAAACAACAAAACATGTAGTGATCAATCACTTCGTTGGCTTTTTTCCTATCTTTTTTTTTTTTTTTTTCCCCAATTCTCATTTCAATTTTCTATTTGACACTATATCACATCTCAATTTTTGGTTTTAATGATTTGATTCACTAGTGAGGTGATAACTTAGCACTTAGCATGCAATTTTAGTATTGACTGCATTTACCATACTGATATATATAATCTTTTCGGTAGAGTAGAGCTCTATATGTACAACTCTATATAGTTCGAAGTATATACCTTAAGACCTCCAATCACTGCTTCGAAACTTTAACATGACTCTGCCTTCTTTGCTTATTCTTCTCACTCTAAGATGTCCCTTTTGATGGCTTTCGCTGTCATTGACTTGACGAGACGCATATTAATCCGAGACTTAGGGTTGGACGATTGGGTCCCATCATCCTTAACATGCTATGCCAAAATCCGCTCCAAGACCAAAACTACTAACTCATTCTGGACTGCATCGTCATCTAGCCCCTTTTCTAGAAGATGTTTTGAAGCCATTTTGAAGCCATTTTGAAGCCATTTTAAAGCCGTTTTCCAGACGTTTAATGAGTGGGACAGACCAGGCAAATATCATTGGAGATGTTTCGGGTATTAATTAGAGCAAAGGAATGCTGGGTTGATCCCCACGTGGTTCACAACAACACCCTACCGTCTACAAAAATACGAAGCCCTGGAATACGCCATGTTGCTTCGAGACCATCGTCTTACCCTCGGTCTTCGTTGGAAATTAGGCTCACCTTACTCCGTACTCAACCCTGGCAAGAAGGCTGTCCTGGCTCCTTGCCTGTGTCCGCTGGCTGTCTTGGTTTCAGATCAGTTGCCGAAGGCTGGACGGGGATATAACAACAACTCCCTTGTTGTACAGATGCCGTCCCCTTCAATGCATGAGTCCTTGGCCATAAATCCATGATCGGTTTCAGCTAATGCATGATTTCTACCTTTACCATTCTCTTTGGTCAACACCCGCCATGCTCCGAGAAAGCTATCTACCACTTCGGTCGATGGATCATAGACTTCGGTTGATAATTCATCATCTTTTCCACTGAGGATTCATCCATTCTCGCCACCACAGCCTTTGAACGGGCACTAGAACGATAAGCGCTGTGGGAGGGTGATCATAAGGAATGTCTTGTCAATGCTCTGATGACGGGTGCGTCGGGTAGCAAAGAAAAAGGTAGTGTCAGTGATCTACTGCTGCAATAAGCAAGGGATGTCGATCACAGATCTATTGTTGTTTTGGGTTCTTAATCTACTAGTACCTCGCCTCTTCCTCGCGTGGACGCGACTCGATGGCGATTTTTGAGCGTGACTGAAGCGCGTCATTTACAGAGAACGAAGTTTAGTTGAAGATGCGCGTGATAAATACACCCCGAGAATATTATTATGGGTACTTCGGAGCTTTTTCATGGACTACCAGTACTATGGGGACTATGGGAGATAACCATATTGAGAGCTCTGATCCCCTGCAAAGAAATGCAAGGCTAAAGTCCGTGCATCAACATGGTTTCTATGAATTGGCCGCCCTTGACAGGATATACTACACATACACACAGTCCATTGATCAATTGGAATTTGAAAGTCCATGGTTTAGTTTGCTTCCTTTCGCCCCAGCCACCCTCAGGGGGTGGTTCATGTACTTACCGTGGGACTCCACCGAGCTAGGGGGTATCTGGTGCCATGTACTCCGTAGCTTTAGACATACATACATACATACATACCGATCTAAGGTCCGACGGGATGTTATACAGGAGAATTAGTCTGCATCTTTCAGTTCTGGGATGGGAAGAACAGACGATTTAGGTTTTGCTGAATCTTGGGGGAATGACAATTTATTAAACTTAATAATAATAATAATAATAAGAGGAATTGGAATTATGAGGACGAAGGATTTTCCTGAGGAAGATGAAGCTAAGATTCAGAATAAGACCGAAAATCAATAGTGGCAAGCGAAGATGTTGCTCCGTATTCCGTATAAATAGTAATAGTAAACATGGCCCCTTTTGGCAAAGCTGAAGGGGCTCCACTTTGTCCCGTTCGAGCTGAACGAATGCTTAACCACTTTCAACTTTCTCCTCATTCCAACTCACACTTGCAGCCACTTTTCTTCGAATCATCGTCATTCCCTTACTAGAGAGACAACTGGACCAGGTCTCTTCCTTCCCCCAGTTATCATCCCACATTCTTTTTTCTTTTTTTTTTTTTTTTCTTCTCAGCTTCCCCAACTGCGCCTTTCCGATCCTTTCCCTTCCTCCAGCCTTTCCGATTGTGATCTATCAATCCCCAAAGCTCACTTGTAAATCCTCCGTCTTTATCTGCCTCTCTTCCTCCCACATCTGGTCTTTCTTTTTTCTCTCTTCTCGCACTTGATCCTGCATCTTATCTTACTATTATTAATTACCGACACACTTATTTCCACTCATTTCTCATACAACAACGCCGACCGTCGCCTACCTGCCCAACCTTGACCTTAGCTCGGTATCTCCGGAACGCCCCTAAACAACCTCACATCCGCTGTCGCTTTGGGGTATTGCAAGTTCGCATCTCAGCATGCTTGCTTTTCAGCGGTACACACTCTTTCATATTTCCAAATCAGCTATTCCACCGCCGTCTCCCAAATCGCATCTCTTGATTCCGTCCTTCTCCGACCAACATCTGTGAGCTGTTCCGGTGGCCGTTCTCCTCCGACATGGCCACCAGTCGCAGCAATCCTATACCTCCACCCATCTCCCTTTCGACCACGAGCTTCGCCCCTCATGCCGTGCCGCCGACTCCATCGCCTAGTCGACCAGTAATTCCCAGCTACCAGTCCCTCGACCCGTTACTCGCAAACTTATCCCCTGAGTCCACCCTCGAAGCGCTTACCTCGACAGACGCAGTGCCGAAGAACGAACCCGCATATGATATCCTCTCCAAGAGCATATCCCAAGTCTCTGAGGCGGAGCGAGCTCTCGGAATCCGCGCGGCTGTTGCGGCACAGAATCTCAGCCTATGGTATAAAGAGGTACAAACGTGGGAATGGCCGAAACGCACGGATGCCCAACTGGGCCAAGGATTCATTCCGCCTTCTACCACGATATCCAATACTTCAGAGCCAGAATATTTGGGCAGCCTTCCTGCAGAAGTTGTAGCTAAACACGAGAAACGAATTGAGGAGATCCGTGATGGCATGGAAAGTCTAGGTGTCGACGAATTGAAAGAACACGTTCTGAACGCTCATATTCCTTCTCGGTCTCGCCCGTCGTCATCCAACAGCAATCTTTCCGGACCCCCTTCGTTCAGCTATGTGCAATTAAGTGATTTCACCGCCGTTATCACCGCCACCATTTTGCGCGCTCTTCCACTTCTCTCCCGCCTGAACAGCCTCCTTTCCACCTGGGATGTTCGTTTACTAGTCCTCCGTCAGGTACCAGGACTATTGTGGAGCCTACGTCTAGCCCAATCTGAATTGAATTCAGCCTTGGACTTGTTGAAGTCCTCCGAGCCCCCTAGCGAGCAGGATGCCTTGTATTCCAGATCAAACTATCATGCTAAACGTGCTGCGCTGGAGGTGACGGTTCTTTCGGCGGGACGACGGATGGACCGTATGCTTGACGCGCTAGAGGGCCGGGAAGACTCGCTGCCGGAGAATTGGATTGATGAATTAGAAGCCATCGAATCTGGTTTTGGTAACTGGGTCATGGACGCCGAGAAACAGACAGTTGAGAATGAATGGCGGCGCATGATGGCCAATAAACTGCAAAGCAAAGACCACCCACAAGTATCAAATCAACCAGCCCCTGTATCAGATGGACATAGAGCTCCCGAAGACCTTACCACCCACACCCCCGAGCCTTTCCCCCAAGCTGCACGTCCACCTTTGATGGAAACCATCGCTGAAGAACCCGGAAGCCCTACTGAGGACCGGAAATCCTTCGAGGCTATTCTTGATCAATCCGTCACTACCTCTCAAGGGATTGAACAAGCTCCCACTCTTGGCTCCGGTACACCGTCCTCTCTTGATGGCACAGAAGTGGCCAACGATAACTCTGAAGCTAGCCGAACCCTCCAAGAGGCCGAGGCTGTAATTGAACCGATCGTTACCCTGGAGAGAAGTACCACGGACGCCATGGTACTCGATGCATCGCCTGTTAGCGAGAAAGAAAATGCTAATGCGAACCCGGTCCATGCCCAGCAAACCTCCTTAGAATCAGCGTGCACTGCCACCGCAGCCAAGGACGTACCTTCCTCTAATCTTAACCGGGAGGAAGTAACGTTTCCCGAAGATATCCTGCAGAGAAAGACGGAACCTATGTGTGGACTCCAAAAAGCAGCAGAAGATCCTTTTGTTGCCCACAGCGAGGAGATGGGACAGGCAGAACAACCGTCTCAGTCTAGAGACCTTCCTGGGAATGCCGCCTCTCCCGACGCAGATAGTTCCCCAGCTAGTCCAAGTTCGCGAGCAGAAACTGGGAGTGTCATAATACAGAGACCCATGGGTGTAGTAGATTCTCCAAAACTGGAAGAAACGGTAGAGTCGCATGGTAGCGAAACGTCGATAGTCTCAACTACCTCCCAATCCATCATTGAGGTCTCTGGTGGTCAGCTACGGTCTGCATCAGCTGAAGAAGCAACAACAACTTTGCCTAGCGTCACCGTTGAGCCCGCACCCACTGATATTGCTGCCTCGATAGCGGTTAATCGAGATAGCTCACTTTCTTCTCGAACCAGCAGCCCTTCGTCGCCGGTGTCTTCTAGGCCACCCCCCTCGTTGACAAATGACAAAGACACTGCAGCTCCATCTCCAAGGCAACCTTTGGATAGCCCAATTAAACTGTCCAAAACCAGACCGGGACGTTTGGATGCGGAGGAAACCATGACCTCTCGTGGTCGACGAGTATCGGGCGCCTCAGAAGATTCTTCGGATTATCCATCACTCGTATCCAGCCCGGACATCCGAGGATTGCATACCGTTTCTTCGAACGGAACACCGAAGCTTATTGAGACTCCTCCATTGTTCCAGACAGACTATCGGCATTCTCGCCCCATACCGACTAATAGCGATCATACATTGCGAGAAGACCGCTTGCTTCGCTTAGACAGCGAAAAGTCTCCGCCAACATCCTTGAAACACAACCGGGCTCTTAGCCTTCCACTACAACGATTTATCAATGAACGATTGGATCTGGACTACGAGGATGGGTCAAACACCGATCTGACCATTCCAACCATTGACAAGAAAGTCACGGATTCTCCCGTGAGATCGAGTTCCCATAATGATCGCCTGTGTCCATTGTCGCATTCGAGCAAACAGCGTCACTCCGCCCCGTTCACTGGTATTCGACGTGCTGTTGGTCGGCGCTCTGAACTTTCTCGGGAAGACCACACATCTTCAGGGCGTGACGGCGTTACACAGAGACAGCCCAAGGCTTGGGAGCGCAATAAGAATACCTCCGTGCGAAATCCAGCACATAAAGCTCCGCCTTCCCAACCACCCGTCCTTTCAACAGCCACCCGTGCCAGAAAGCAGCTGACTGCACACCCTAGCCTTGAAAGCATTGGGGCGTACAAGTCTACGCCTCGTATATCTGGAGAGACATTGACCGGCACAGCGAATGAGAAGACTGGCTCCCGGCCGTCGACTCCAGGTAGCCAGATAAAAAGGTCAAGGGATCATCTGGACGAGAAAATTAGCTCTATCCTTACTACCCTCCCGACCCGTATCCACTTTGGAGACCGTGAGGCTGATGCTTCATCTGTGATATCGTCTTTGCCATTGAACGCTAGGGAGCGGTTCCGCTCTATATCCCCACAAGGGTCAGTGTCACGCAGCGGCACGCCCACTCCATCGCTTACTCTCACTCCTGCTGTTTCTCGTAGGAGATATTCTCATGCTCCAGAGGAAAGCTCCGTGAAACTATACCACCTGCACCAAGGTGGTAAAACCGTTCCCACCAAGCTTTTCGTCCGTTCCGTGGGAGAAAATGGTGAGCGCGTGATGGTACGTGTTGGTGGTGGTTGGGCAGATTTGGCCGAATATCTGAGGGAGTATGTTATCCATCATGGGCGACGACACGTTTCGGACACGCCTCGTGTTGAAGTCGAAGGATTGTCATCTCGTGAAACGACGCCAACTTACACGCCACCGGGGAGCAGGCTTCCTAGGTCTGGCAATGGACGATGCACGCCGTCCCGACCCCATTCTGTTATCAGTAATCGACCATCGTCCTCACTGGCTGTCCGCAAAACGAGACGGGCCTCGAATGTATCTGATATGACCGATCTCAGAGCAGCAAGCACAATCGAGACACTAAACTTATCGTCATCCCCTATGTCAACCGTCTCCTCGCGTAGACGGCTCTCGACTTCTTCCAATACCTCTTTCGGTGCGGCTTCAACCATGAGCGACGCTCGATATGGATCTATTCCTCTTGGTTTGGCGGGACCTAAGCCACGGTCTCGGCACGCCCCTATGAGCGCAGAAAGTGAAGCGTGGGTGGAAGATGTCCTGGGTCAAGCACGGAGAAGCTCGTCTCTAAGGCCTTTCACATTTGGCCTATCCCCTCCCGAGCAAGATCATGCTGCTGGTAAAGTTCCCACTTTACCCAAATCTAGAAGCATCAGTGATATTGGCAAAGTTGGCTCGAGCAAGCGAGTTGTCCTCCGCGGGCTTGGTAGCCGGTAATCTGGATCCATCGATGCATTGCCCTCTTTGATTATTACCTCACCTCCAGCATTTATCCCCCTCCTAAAATCTCCCTTCTTATTTATTTTGGTCTACTAGCACTGGCGTTTGCCGTTTATTCGGGTTTTTTTTCTATCAGAGGACGGTTTTAAGAAAAGTATCAGGCATTTGCATTGTCGGTGTTTTTTTTTTTTTTCTTTCCGGCATTTTCAGAGGGGTTCTGTTTGAATTTGGTTTCCTCTTTGCCATTTCCCATTCTTTTTGACAGACATTTAGATGGCATCATTCATCTTTGGCATATTTGCATTCAAGCAAGCGTTTCGGCTTCTGTTTGTGTCTCTTGTCGTCTGTTTATTGGTTTTTCAATTCTTTTGCACATATCTAGATACCCTCATATACGGTTCCTACCTTCTTCTATGGCCGCTTTTATGTTTATATTTTTAGAAGAAGAGTACATAGGGGATTCAAGAATTTATTAAACATTGAGAAATCACATAGTCACCAGTCAATTCACACCGCTACTCTTTCTATAATCTCACCCTTCCGAGTTGAGAGCCTCATGCTGGCTAGATCCATTGCTTCGAAGAATTCGCCTTTAGAACTGTTACGACAATAAAAAAAAAAAAAACGCTACTACGAACGCCACCAATCCAGACCGACCACAACCAGCTATCGAGCAATAAACCATAATCCATAAGACCCGATCAATACGGGTCTAAGTGCAAAACAAGCCAAGTCTTTGAGCAAGAATGATCATACCGAGACTTATCGTAAAAGAACATGATAACTGAGCTATAATCCACCCATCAAAGTTTCTTCCGTACAATGCAAAAGCTTTTTCAGGATGAATCTTGTACGTGTTCACGCTGTTCAGAGGACTGTCGCTTCCAGGGGATATCTTTACTAAATAGCTCTCTTAATTCGGGTGAAATTACTTTAGGTTCGCTGTTGTCATCTGGTGGAGCGCTCGGTCCGGAGCTGGTGCCGCTGCTGAACCCGGTGCTTGGAGGTCTTTGTGGCGACTTGCCTTTGTCTGCGTCGGAAGAGGATTGGATGGGTTTTCGTTGGTGAGCGGAAGGGGCGGGGAAGTTGTTTTTCTTGTCTATTGCTTGAACGGCTCGTTCGAAGCGACGGAATAGGGATTCGGCGCGGGTGAGGATTGGAATGAGTTCCATGGTGTTGGAGAGTTCATTAACTGTAGATATTAGCTTAATAGGGTTTCAGATTCAGAAAATGGGGAGTACTCACTGTATTTCAGGACTTCATCAAAATGCTTCAAGTGGTCCATAATGACATCTCTGTGCTTCTCTAGGATTGCCAAAGCGATGAAAAGATGGAAGCTGCTGGATAGATAGTCGGTCCACAATGTCTCCCAAAGGCGCAAAACATCCACCCATTCGAATTCACGCTTGTACCATACAAGGAGCATACGGAAGAAGAAGAAAAAGTTTGTGCTGTCGGCAGACTGGAGGTGGAGGTATAGTTGAGGATCCATGAGTTGTACAAGATGATCTAAAGTCAGAAGTTGGGCACGCATGCCAGACTGGTCGCGAAGAAAGTTGCGTTCCTGTTGGATCAGGTATTAGCTGAAGGTTGTTAATGAGAGGGGGTAATCGTTACCATTCGGTCCATGAAGCCAACAAATGCCCAAAAGGCGACTGCATCATCCTGCATGACTGCATATATCGGTGCTAACAGGTCGCTCATTCCTTGGACATAGCCCAAGTCAGGGTTATATTCGTTATACGTCAACAACATGTCTTTCATCTGCTCTAGGTGGACATTCGTCCCTGTGTCTGCAAATGGCGAGTCAGGGTCCGGATGAGGAATATCTTCCCCAGCAAAGAGAGGAATTGTGCGGTCTGTACGATGTACATCCTTTTCTGTAATTGGTGGAATTTATTTAGTAACGGAGACGGTATAACAGTATGTAGAAGAGACATACCGATGCGGTTTCTCTGCTCTTTCCACCACTCATGCTGCTCCTCGGTGGACTGTCCCTCGACCATCGTCTCCCACCAGGCACCCTTTAACCGAATGTACTCATCCCGTTTAGAATTCATCAAAGCCTGACGTTCGTCACGGGAGCTGTCCCATGGATATACGCCGAGAAGGAAAAGCCAAGCTAACTTTCTGACACCGTCGTTCGGATCGAGACCCCCATGGAATATTCTCTCTTTTACCTCTTCAACAGTAACCTGCAATCTGCCCGTGGTCGGGTCAAAGAATCCCTCCCATTCTATTAAAGTAACTGTCTTGCGCCGTTCGTGGATGGACATGGTTCCCGTTTCGAGTTCGAGAATTTCGAAATCACCCACGGAGCTGTTTTCCATCTCCAGGACATCCCGTGCAGTCCATATCCGCTGGTTCCTCTCGCGTTCGCTCTGTTCAGATATGCTCATAGCCCATCGAGCAAGATATAACCTGGCACTATCAAACTCATCCTGTAAGGTTTGGATCTCCGGTGTCTTCATCAGTCGACGGACTTGCGGAGGAATTCGCGGGTTTTCGGCTATCTCATTCGCTGTCCGCCTTGTAAAGGTCGTGATCTTGCTCAGCTGCTCAAGCACCTTCCATCTAGTCTCCTTAATCGCTTTCATAAAAGGATCCATTCCCGCATCCCGCTGTCCGCTGCTACCTTGCGCGGATGGCCCAGAGGGTTGGTCCTGGGCTCTGCTTACTGTTCCATCGGCTGTCAACGGCCGCCCAAATGATATGCGATCTTCTTCGGATGGGTTGATCAGATATATGCTATTATCAACGGCTGAGCGCTGCACCTCCACATACTTCCGAAGCCACCTTAGGACCTCATCGCCACCCCAGAACAGACTGCCATCCTCGCCGAAGGGATCAAATGATTCCTGAGTCCTCTTCCTCTTTTGTAGGATGGTCGATTCGCATTCGCTATCATGGAAAAACAGGGCAGGAAAGCTATCACCTGCACGCGTATTGATCACAAGGCTTCCAAACCACCATCCGATGCTCGGAGGTCGCACAAGCAATGAATAGACCTCTGAGAGTGGTACGGCAAAGGCATAGAGCCCTATTGGGTCTTTATGGGTGGTGGTTGTTGGTAGAGGGGGTACCAAATATCTCTGTCGCGGGGGGGAGGAGTCGCCCGCAAGATCGACTTTGACATAGGTGTTATAGGCGTCGCCTAGCGAGGATTCCGGGACCCAGGCAAGGAGGTAAGATGATAGCTCGGCCTTTCTTGAACCGTTGGCCGATGCGATCGCATTCGAAGCACCATGAGCCGGCTTTTGTTGAATAAGGGCGATGAACCCAGGGATATTATCTTTGGAGGAAGGGGTGGGGTGAACGTAGACCTGCAATGCTCGGTATAGTTCGGAACCGTCAGTGATTGATTGATATTGAGTAGAACTCTTTTCAGTGGTCTAACCTTGCTTTTTGAAAAGAGCAATTTGACTCCTCTCCCAGTTGTTGCATGTGAGATGGTGTTATAATCGTCCTCCTCGTCGTCGCTGACGTCGTAGTAAGAAGCCGTGGGCGACGGCGGCGAAGGTGGCGGAGTGTACTGAACTCCCTTACGTGCCATTTTTCTCGTTGCGTCTTTATTTTAAGACCGCAGATAGATGATATATTTGTTTGAATGACTCAGGAAGGGCAGTTCATACTTCTCCGTGATTTGACTTAGTTATTTGTTGTATGGAAAATCCCCCGTTTGGTAGGTGAATTGCGGGGAGAAATGAAGAAAGGCGCAAACGTCACGAAACCAATGGAGATCCACCTGATCACGGCTGCATGTGATTAAATCTCCACCCATGAAACTGCCAATGGTTTTTGTGTTATATGTCAAGATCAACTCACTGCTTGAGAGTATACGTTCTCTTTCTTTTCCCCTTCTTCTCCTGCTGTAAGAAAAAAAAAAAAAGTGTATGTTCAGCAGGATAACAGACAAGGTATGTGGCATGTGGCTCATTCCGTAGATAATATTTATACTAATCGATAACGGTCAGCATCGCCACAATCAAAATGACTGCTGCCTGGCTAAAAATCCTCGACTCAGGAAGAATATTAATCCTCCTTTTTGTTTGGTCTTGAAAGACCCGAGCAGAAAGAGATACGTCTCACGAACTCAGGATACGGTGTTGGGGCTATCGTTGGCTCTTGACCACTGGTTAAAGGGATTATTAGTATGGGTGGGATGAACTAGACCTTGTTCATACCATAGACTTCTGGAAACCCAGAATAGTACGTACAAGATGATCCAGTCGGCAACCCGGATTCAAGTTGGATAAACCCCCGAGTCCACTGCCCCACAGGTTGAACCCTTCATCCCGTAACCCGAACCAGCTCTTGGTTCTACTAATTCGGGCCGGGTCTGGTTTCCCTAAGCTACTAAGTTACTCGACTTATAATATCAGGGAAACACGGGTTCTCAATTGTCTGAATGGATTATTACTCGCGTTTTGCGTCCGATACTTATGTAGGTCACTGTGATGCGCATTAGGACGAAGTTGAGGTTCATGTACTAGTCGTGTAGAAATAGATAGGAATTTGACTATCTCTGTGTTTAGTCTATGACTCGTCAAAAAGAAACAGATGATCGCTCAAACCGTACAAGCGAACTAGACTATGAACATGCTTGATACACGGCTTCTCCTCTTATGAAGCTTATAAGATATGGTCGATACTTTCTATAAGTACCCAAAGCTCGGAGGATAAACGGTTTGCACTTGTACCAATTATATCGATAGGCATTGAGTTCCCATCATTCCGGGTTCAAAAGTACATGCAGGTATACGAGTGTCGCCAACACCCGAATGGGAAGGACCTCATAGGTCCGATGTTACAGACAGATCGTCTGGTCAAATCATTCATCATTGGTCACTCACTGAACTATTAGGTAAGGATCAGATCCTACCAAGATACCAGGTGACCACTACGTTTGAGTAGGCATTGATGATGATTTCAGATTGGTAACACATTACTATTGCTTCGATGCTGTTTAGTAGAGATATCGGCTCAGTCTCACCGACTAGTTCAAATGATATTCGGTAGTGTTGGTACATATCATAGCTTTGAACACCAACCCATCTTATACAGTGAACTAAGAGACCTGCCCATTGACGCGGACTGCAGTACTCGACTACGACCTGAGTCAAATACTATCGGAGAATTATATACCTAATAGGACTTCAAAGGGAATGTATCTTGGAGTTAGCCACCTCCTCGAGATTTGTAAGTTCCCGATCAAGCCGTATACTTGTAGGAGTCCAACACACAATGGAACCACGGCCGCGGGACCCTATCCGGATCCCATAGCCCGTTCAGGAAACGATACGCCTGTCCAATTGAATAGCAAAATGATGTACTTCGGTGTAGATCGAGAAGTCACACTGCCACAAATAGAAGAATATATAAGGTAACGGATAACTACGGCTCCCGCTTTACAAGGACAGCTGTTCTCCTTATTACATGCACTAACATCGAAACTGTGCAAAATGACCGAACTTGCACGCACGCTGCCAGCTTCCTGGTACTGCAGCCTTCCGCTCTACCAACTGGAGCGAAGAGCTGTTTTCATGAAGGTATGCTATTGAGTCTTGGTCAGGTGATGTTTGAAAGTGGCTAATAGACTTAGTCTTGGTATCTCCTTGGACCTGTGACGAAGTTCCAGAAAGTCGGGGAAAAGATCGAGTATGAGATTGCACAACAGCCAATCTTGGCCTTTAGAGCCTCCGGCAGTTCTTCTTTACCTGAACCAGGCGAGTTCCATGTAATCTGTGCGAAAACAGTACGTCTTGTGTCCCCTGCTTTTTATATACACACCTACGAAAGTAGACAAGAAATTTCTGGTGTCTGTAACATCTTATGGAATGTGTCGGTCTGACAATAACAGGGGAACCCGCTGCGGTACCATATCACTCCAACCGGCCTCATCTTCACGACCCTCTCAGATGAAGCGCCTAGCTTTCATGAGTATTTCCCGGACCTGGAGCCATTGTTGGAGAGAGTAGACTTTACCAAACTACCCTACAGGCACAGTATCAAATATGAAGGACGATTCAACTGGAAGACTATGTACTAACCCTGCTAGTGCATATTGAGTGGATCTGTGCTTATATCGTAAATCACAGGGTCGACGGATACCAAGAATGCCTTCATTGCCAATACACTCATCCATCGTTTTCCGTCTACTATCCGCCGACCTTCTACACCGTTCACAATCACCAAAACTTTTCGCAACACATTGCAGATCCTAATAAGCCAGATGATGGGCTGTTTCTCTATTTCTTCCCGAACTGTACATTGAACGTGTATGGTGGAGGGATGTCTTCGTTCCGGGTTTGCCCAACAGAAGACCCAAATATCACCCGAATGGAATTCGACTACTACCACATGGAATCCGGCGAGAAGTTCAAAGAGTACTTCAAGTTCGTCCGTCAGGTGGCTATGGAGGACTATGAACTCTGCGAGAAGGCCCAGGATAACCTTGGGAGGGGGGTGTATAGTGAAGGGATTCTGAATCCTGAGAAAGAGAATGGTGTTTCCTGTGAGTACAACAGATTTCGAAGCTTCTAACCCCGCCGCTAATGCCTGCCAGTCTACCAAGACCGAGTATTTGAGTTGGTGTGCCAGCAACATGCTGCAGATCAGTTAGCGGAGGAGAGTGTCACTTCGGTGACAGAAGAACAAGGCAAGGGATTGGAGGGAATCCCGGCCGCCGCATGAGAATAGCAAGCTGCAGGGGGGGCTCATTCTGGTAATAGTGTGCTTTTGATAACTTGGATTATCCCTTGTTGCTAAAGCCAAAGCTCTACGGTGGAATCTATTGGTAGTTATACTTAATTGAAAACCGGAAAGTTTGAAATACCATGTAACCCTCAACGTTCAGAAACAGAAATCCATACATTAACTGAGATCATATGTAGCATTCAGTGAACCTGTTACTTCAAATACCCTGGAAAATTCATCCTAATCTGGCAAACTTATGAGCGGTCAACACGATTTGCTGGCTAACCTCGGAGGATGTGATAACAGATATGCAGGCATATGCGGAGGTGAAAGCCAAAGATCATCGAGCCCTTTTATAGAAATCCCCCAGTCTCTGGAAGGCCTGGGGACAGACATTCTTTCAGAAGGCTTACAGAAATTAAAACGGGAATCATCATGGAAGCCTCCATCTTCCCGACAGCACCCACATTGCTTGCACTGCTAGCTGGGATTGCTTTCCTATATCGGTTCTGGCCATATAGATCAACTCCAACCCCTAAGCTATTGAATCCTGAGAAATCCGCGACCCTTGGTACAATTCCAGATGTCACGGAAGAGGAGAATCGTGGAGTCTTCAAAGAATCAGATTTCCCAGCAGGCTGGTGGGTGAGCAAGGATGTTTTCGAGCTCGAAAAGCGTGCAATCTTTAGTAAGGCAAGTGAAATATATCATTAAACCCCTGCATTGAAGGATGTTCTATCTAATCTAACAGTTAGACCTGGCTGTGTCTCTCTCATCGCAATCGCTTTGCGAAGGTTGGTGACTACCAGTCCTTCGAGGTGGCTGGGTTTCCCATTTTCCTGATCTTAGGAAAAGACGGGAAGGTTAGAGCTTTCCACAACGTCTGTCGTCATAGAGCGTACACAGTCACGAAGAAAGAATGTGGATCCTCTGCGGTGCTTGGTTGTCGATATCATGGCTGGAGTTATAACACCTACGGCGAACTTACCAAGGCTCCTCATTTCGATGATATTCCAGGCTTTGACAGATCACAGAACAGCCTCTTCGCCATTCATACGGTTACGAACGGACTTGGGTTTATCTTCGTTAACCTTGAGGCTAGTCCAAGAATCCCGTCGGCCGACACAAGCCTTTTGGATGCCTTTGCGAGCAACAATAGACTGGACTCTCAGTCCATATGGGTAGCAGGGCAAACCATCAAGGCAGATTTCAATTGGAAAATGACCTGTGAGTTGATTGACTGCTCCTTCTATTTGGTCTGGTGTCTCACTCCCTAGCAGTCAGGCAGCAGCAATTGATCGACTTCCTCAGGCTAGAGAATGAGATTGAGCAGAAGAGCAATATACCCCAAGTGACCAGTATTTTGAACTATGTTCGGGCGAAATCAGAGCACTTTTCGCTCTTCCCCTTTACCTCTTTCTACTCAATGAAGAGGACTGGATGGTGGTGTGCGCTGAGCTTCTTACCAGTATCTGAACAGAAGACGGCAATCCGATACGACCTGTACTGCTCAAAGATTGATAGTTCTCGTTCACAGGTAGCTGCGGATAAACTGGCCGAACTTTTGGAGGAGAAAGCCCGGGAACTAGAAACAGAGTACCAAGAGTACGTTTTGGGATAGAGCGTTAGCATCAAACACGAACTGACTACTGACCGGGTCTGAAGGTCATTCGTATCTGCGCCCCCAAGCCTTCACAGTGAAGAGATAGGTAATATTCTTTCCTGTTCTTCTTCCTCGAGGCTTTTGTGTTCTCCATGAGCGCTGAGACAGTTCCGCCTTGAGTAGATTTTCAGAAGAATATTCTCGACTGCCTCGAAGCTCATATCAAGCTGGAAAAAGCGCAGGGGGTCGAAGTATTTCCAGCGATGAGAAAGCCAAGGGAGAATTCCAGGTTTCAGCAAGCTGAACAACGTTAGTACTATCTCAGTCGTATAAGCGTACGTTCCGAGTGTGCTGATAATTTTGGCAGTCTGCAAGGAGCTCGACTGTAAGAGCGAGCTCATAGGAAAAGATCTCGCATGGTGACCACGCAGATGGTTCGAATTTCCTTTTGTTCTGGTTGATTGGTTTTCCCTTGTTCGCGTTCGCATTTTCCCTCTCAGCCTGGATAGACGTATAGCGTACTTACCGAACGTGTCGGTGGAATCTTGGCACCGATGTTGCAATCTGGTCAATAGAGAGCTCATTAATTAATAAATTCCAGTCGTCTCAGATTCACACCTTGCTTCATATTCTTACCAAGTTGGACAGGAAGGAAGCAGATTCTCGAGGAAACCCTCGGTGGATCGTACCGGTCGGATTCACCATCGAATCATATTGATCGAGCGTGTAAACCTTCCCCTTTCTCACAATTGACCATTTGCACCGTTAAATCGATCAACGCCCGCCCCAACTCCACACTCCCCAGCGCATCGGACCGCACAGGGCGGCAACCCTCGTATTCTTAAATATCTTGGGGGGGTGCCTCTGCAGAATTGGCAGTCGAAGATCAATACGTACTTTCGCTCTTTCCCTCCCCCCCTCCTTTTGAATTCGAGTTTCCTGGCCCGAACATCCAGGTTTCTGTTGTTGACGTTATCGAGCCAATCAGATCGCCAAACAGGGGTAAGGCTGTGTTCTGCACCCGTTTCGGCAATTCGTATTTAGCGTACGTTCGCTTTGAGGTTTAACGGCGATGATCGATCATGGCGGAGTTTACGAGTGGGAATCCGGCTAACTTTCGTATTTACAAGGCAGGCAGTTAGTTGACTTTTTGGGACGTGCACTTGTCACTGAACGTCTGTCATGATGGCGCTCCCTCCCATCGCGAAGGCCACTCTACAAGCTGCGCTGATCAATGCCGGGTCAAATATACTGGCACAGAGCATTCAGTCATATAGAGATGAGGTAAGTAGTAGTATCCATGATGGATGCATGTAACATGGGGGCGGGGGCAATGTGTACTAAGGCACATCTTTTCGCAAATTGGCCCCCAACCCTCCACTGATTAATTCATGCATGCTGCTAGTAAGGAAAAATTAATTGGGCTGACGGCTTGATTCGCTAATCGGCGCCATGGTCGGAGTTATATGCATTGAATGATTATGCATCAGCACTCTCTCCATGATGGGCGCCGGATAGCTTCAAACACCTCCATAGAAACCGTTCGAACTGGATCTGCAAACGCTGTTTCAATTCACAACATGTGCCTTTGTGATGTCCCCCATGACCTTCCTATGGTTGGAGGGTCTGGAATCGGCACTTCCAGGCCAGACTAGCGAGGAGCCTACCGCCACCAAGTCAAAGACCGAAAAGGCGGACCAGCCCAAACAAAAGAAGTTAAATGTGAAGAACACGGTGGCAAAGATCGTGATCGACCAGGTCGTCGGTGGCGCCTGGGCTACCGTCCTTTTCAGTCTGACCATGGGACTGTTGCGCGGGCAGGAATATGATGTTCTGGTGGACCAGATTCGCAATGTCCGTACATCCGAAATCACTCATGGCTTGATTGGGACATTGCTTGCTGACTTGTGCTGGTTTAATAGGATTTCTGGCCCCTCCTGATCGCGGGATTCAAGCTATGGCCATTGGTCTCCATCCTGAATTTTACTGTTGTCCCAGCTGACAAGAGACTGTTGGTTGGTAGTATATTCGGTGTCGTCTGGGCTGTTTACTTGAGCTTGATGTCCGGGTAATTGGGCGACGGCGCTGGGACGCTTTGCCGTGAGACCCGACGCATTAGGTATTGGATCCGAATATACTAGTCCTTAGGCGAAGTGGTATCTACTATTGGAAAATGGCTGGGATGACCAGATAATAAATGTGTTGGTGGAAACCCAGTCGAGACTAAAGAACTGGGGCAGGAAAGACGTAATAGTGTAAAGGGGCCGAGCGGGGTTGATGATGATCATGATGGAATAGCGACAAAAACTGCTGTATCGTCGGCAGCTCACCGAAATGAAACAGAATCGACTACTCCGTAGTTTGAGCGAAAATGCCACGTTTTTTTTTTTTTTTTTTTTTTTGCCCCAAACACTAGTATCTCATTACGAGTGAGCCAGTCAGACAGGGAAGAAAGACATGTCTCTGGAGAGAAACTTAACTTCCAACCAAACAAAGAAACAAAAAGAAAAGGAAACGGCAAGGTAGTTTGGACGGTGAGGATCATGAATTATCTCACCCCACATGAAACAGCCTCGATCGAGCGGGCCCTGACATGTACCATCATCAATAGCGCTGCCGTACAACTTGATATGTGAACACATACCGGAGCGGGACATAACTCCCGAGTCAGCCTACGAGGCACTGCTCCCGTTGATGGATAGATAGAGGTCCATATAGTTACAAGCTCCGTATTGAGTAAGCAGGTCAGCAATGGCTCCGAACATTACTCGGGAAAATTAGAATTTGCGGGTTGGAATGGAACGGGTGGGCAAGGCGTAAAACAAAGAACGAGCCGGGCTGATCTTTATCCACATTCTACTTATTTGTTTTATCAGATGTGTTGAGAGGCTTGGGGCTTGCCCATAAACCTGTTGTGGACTGGGTGAAGGCAGGTTGAGCGGGAAGTCGCAAATGGCCAAGAGTTTGACACTCAATAGTCGTCGTCTAAAAGTAGTACAATAAAATGTTTAATTACTGTACAGCATGAATGGCCTAGGGCATGAATATTGGACGCGAATTCCCAGCGTAAGCTGCATGAGAAAGGGCCGGAGGAAAGACCCCGGTCAAATTTACAGATTACCACTATTCTGTATTCTGGACGAGGTTACGCTACTCTCACCCTAGAGGCTCATAAGAAAGAAAGGGAGAGAGAAAAAATAATAACATAAGAAACAACAAACGAGTTGCCTTTTTGGGAAAAATCCAGTGAACGAAAAAGAACGTTGTTCCCTTGCATGAGATTCAAAAGATTATTGGAGGCTGGAGTGAAGGTCACTGGCATTTGGGTCAGCAGGAGTAACACATGGTCATAAATGGTCAATACTCTTAAAATTGCACACATTACTGATAATTTAGAAAAAAGAGAGGAGGGCGGGGGGGAAGCAAAATTACTATTAACAGAAACATTATAAGAATAAATTAATTACTATTGCATGAAATGATAAGACTTTTCCCTGGGAAGTGTGAAGAAAACTGGATGGTGGTTGGCGTGGCACAGCCCCGGCGAGAGGATCAACAACCTACCCAAGGCAAACTTACTTTGTATCTTGATTTAGCACTGCTCTTTTTTGATACGAACTGGTATGCCGATCCATTTCCAGGTAACTTCCCCTCATGGTAAGAGAAGGAGAGGAGAGGAGAGGAGAGGAGGGGTTGTAGGAATTAGAAGCAATTACTCATAACCTTTGAAGAAGATATATTATGGCAAATGTTACTAAGTTTATCATCAAACAAAGAAAATTAATGTCTTCTTTTATAATCTTTTCTTTGGGCTTAAATGGGGGAGGGGGGAATAATCTCAGACCTCGAGGACTCGGAGTGAGACTGGAAATAGATCTTGTACGATACGTATACTGTAAGTATGTATGTACCGTAACCCGCTCGTGGGTGTGGGTTGTGGGTGTGTCACTCGTGACCCTCCGAAGGGAAAAAAAGACTAAAATCTCTCCGTGCATTAGCTTGAGTGGAACCAATTTAGTCCCTCCCCATTCACATTCCCCAAAATGTACATGGGCGTCAGCCCAGTGGCTCAAGTGTCATTCCAGGTACCCCCATAATTAGATCACATCATGTCCCTCTCTGCAGCGAGACGGTTGAACTGCATTCTCACAGAAATTACAAACCTATTGCAATTGTGGGCCATGGGGCACAGTTCTACCCAGACCCAGGCGATAAGACGCTATAGTGTGACATTCGATATAAGTTCGCATCACCTCATCTTTCTCATCTCTCCCCCAAAGTGTTCGTAACTCCCACCCTAGGGTCAATTTTTGTCCGTTTCCCCCCTCCCGCGAGCTCACCAGTTCGTTGGATCTACTCCTGAGCAACCGACGCTTCCACGACCAGGATCGTGCTAACCAATCCCAGCAGTCGATCCCCGTTGGTCTTTGTCTGCGTCTGTCACAGGGTTCTTCAAGGTCAATTAGCCATTGAAGCCCTGACAAAGAACCAGTGCGCGTGTGATTACCTGCATTGCATTTATCTCCGTTCATCTTCATCCCCTTCTGGGACCCTGGACGTTTTGCGACATCGATTTCAGGTGGTTGGGACATAGAAGGGGGATTCCTTTTGACCCGGGCTGGCCACAGACTGGCCTCACCACTTTTTGCAACGCCGGCAGAATCGCAACTGGTAAGATTGTCGTCATCTAGAACAACAAAGACGATTTCCAAGTGCCAAACGAAGACCAATGTACTGGGTGGGAAAAGACCCGGGACTCTGGTTTGTCTGATCCTACCATCGCCACGGGAGCATCAGACACGCCAAGTCGTTTTAAGGAGGAAAAAAAACACGACTTACACCTACACAGCCTCTATCCAGCTATTCATAGAACTTCACAAGATGGGTATACTAAGCTCGCAAGGTGGACTTTCCTCGTCTGCCCCAGTGTCGTACAAGCCACCGATGGTAGCAAAACGCGACGCTCTCGCAAGTGATTATGCGAATAATGTATGTTGGTTTGATGCAGAAGACGACCTCGAGAGCGAAGATGGATCCATTTCACCCGTGTCGGATTCACGGCAGGATCGGAAGTCAGGAAATCACTGGGCTCGCTTTTTTCCCGAACTATCATCGCATTTTTCACTTGTGTCCCCGATAAGCACCATGACGCCAGCGACGTCCTTATCCTTGTCATCCGTCGAAACACAGCATTCCAGTGATCCCAGGCCCCACGCTGACGATGTAGGACAGAAAGCTGGTTCCTGTTCATCGTCATCGCCGGAGGGTTCCTCGTGCTACAGTCGGAGATCTTCGGCAACAAGTCTGGACTCTGGATCTCCGGGGACTACCAAAAAGCGCGCTGATACATTTTCGGTAGTCTCCCCCGCTGATGCAGGGGTCTTTGAAGATCTGGCGTCAATACGGCGGTCGCCTTCTCGCCCCTTAGTAAAAAAGCTCTCTGCAGCCGAGCTGAGGAATAAGCCTCTTCCACTTGAGCCTGCCATTCGTCTGACCCCGCTCTCCGTCCGTCATAAAGATCCACCTAAAATCCGTACATCTACATCTGCTGGCCCTCAGACTGGGAGGTCACGGGTCTCAGTAGCGGCACAGGACTTGGAGAACACACTCTCAGGCTTTAGAGCGGATTCACCTACGATCCCTTTACATTTACTCAACGAGCCACTGCAGATTAGCAGAGGCAAGATGGAGATGATTCCTTCGCGCCCAGCACCACAGCCTCCAACCGATTTGCGACAAAAGCGGAGAATCGAGGCACGTGAAGATGAAAAGATGAGAAAGAACAAGGGGGCTTTCAATTTCCACTTGTCAGGTTTTAGCAGAAAATACAGCCATCTACATGCCCGGTCGTGGAGCAGCCCCAATATGAGATCGGAGGCGGGGTCTTCAGCTGTGCGTGTCCAGGAGGACACCGACTGCAAAGAACGGAAGAGCAAAGATGACATGGCGGGGCTGCCTAGCTTCCCAAATCCGAATCAGATCTTGGAGCCTCTATCCCAGTCCATTGAAAGGGAGCTGCGCATGCAGCTTCCGCGGCTGCAAGTAAAGGAGACTAAAACCGCCTGCTCACCAATCCAGGAAGTAGACCCCAGTACAGAAAAGGAAGCCATTCAACGCCCCGAGGAGGTGGAGGCCTCACGACGCGAACAATCACCGGATCAGGTTATCTTCAAGGAGAAATTTTTTGTGTCTTCCAGCAAGATAACCGTTTCCGTCTCTAATAATGTGTCTCGCCAAATGGATATAGCGGAGCTCCCAGAGATGGTCTATGAGCTCGACGGTGGCGCCCCGGAATCCCAAAGGAAGCCTACGATCTCAGATTATCTGCCTACCTTACACATGCCTGGGAACCTCCCTGATACGGTTGTCCTTGCCTTTTTACGCCAAGTTTGCTCGCTTGACGATCTTTTTCGTCTTGCAGTCGTTTCTAGACAGTTCTATCGTGTTTTTAAAAATCATGAATTAGAACTTATCAAAGGCGCTGTCTTCACAATGTCCCCTCCTGCATGGGAGCTGCGCGAAATGAGCCCACCATGGAGTACCGAATGGCAGATTCTAGTGGATCCCGACACTCCAGTCCCAGAATACACCCCTTCTCTATACCTTCAACGCTATGCTCAAGACATATATACGCTTGCTCAGCTCAAATTGCTCATTTTAACTCGATGCGAGACGTTTCTGCGTCAGGAGACGATTCGCGGTCTTGCAGGCAAGGACGATGCCTGCGCTAAGGAGATTGATGATGCCCTTTGGAGAATCTGGACGTTTTGCCGCATTTTTGGTAGCGGGAAGAGTCGAGAGGGTGATGTTGTTGGTCAGGTGGACTGGCTGAATGGGGGTGCTATGGCTGTGAGCGATCGCAAACATGGGGCTACGGCGTCGGTTACCGAGCCATTTGGCATGTATGATATTCTGTTCGAACCTCCGACAGGGTTTGGGCATGGTAACAAAGGCGGATTATCAAACGATCAACTGTACTATATGATTGAGATGTGGACCTGCTTGGGCGTGCTGCTTCAGCCAATTCATGGCAGATGCAAAGAAGCACGTGAAGCAGGCATATTCGCCGGTCATCAAGTAACGGAACACGACAATGCTAGGGCGGCGGCTATGTTAGGTTAGTACCCCTTTGCCCTCTGTCGTTCTCTTCCCAGTCAGACTAATACATCGAATAGAGGAATGGACATACTATGTCCTCA